CTATTAGCTGTTTGTTGCTTGTTGGTGTGAGCAGAAGGAATCTTAACAGCTTCTTCTGTTCTATTTAGTGATCCTCAGTGTACTTTTATAAAGTAATTACTTTATTACTACTTATTTTTCACCAAAGATAAAATTTGAAAAATCAAGATAACCAGTTGTGTTGTGAACTGGCATTGTCTAGTTTTGAAGTCTGCTAGATTCTTCCTTTTTAAGCTCATATACTATCCATATAAGCAATGCAGTTGCTGAACAAACAGCAAGTAATCTGGAAGTGGGTAGTATCCCTCTACCAGAATGGGAAAAAGTTGTTGATTCTCCATTTCTGTCTGTAGATCCCATTATAAAAAGTTAGATCCTGTCGATCTGAAGAGTAAGTAGGGTCAAAGTTACTTGCTAAAGTTGTAAAGTTTGTTTATATTCATCCATTTTCTGCTGCTTCAAAGGCTTGGGTGGTGTCTGTTATTCAGTGTACACATGGTCTCTTCTTTTTTTTCCTCATTCTTGCATCCTGTTTTATATCAACTACCCCCCCCCCTGTACATTCTGTTCTCTCCCTCCCCTCTTTTAGTCATAATCTCTATTTTTATGGTTTTATGTATGTATTTTTCTGGTTTTATTGCCTTTAATGTTGTAAACCATTCAGAGTTGCCTCATGGTGAGATGGACAGGGAACAAATAAGCTAATTAATTAATTAAATATACTTGCCACTTACATTAGAAAATTGAAAAAATTCTAGCCGTTCCTAACTGCTGGTTCTGAAGGCTTCCCGTTTACTTCCCTATTCCTTTCATCTCCTCAGGAGCTTCAATCTTCTTAGCACTTCCTTATATTTTAACTGGATCATGATGTTTCCTTCTGCAAGCAATTCTGCTAAGCATCTTTGTCAAGAAATCTCCCCCACTGCTTACTGGATATCTGGCTCTCAAATATCTCCCTTCTGCAGGATCATATAAGAAGGATGTCAAGTTTATTGAACCATTTTCTGTAATTTTACAGTTTACTCCCATGACCTTTTGCTTGTAGTTTTCAATCACACTGAAAATACATCCAATCTTACGAGACCATTTCTTCTTGGAGAATAGAACATTGCGTCCTCCTCCTTCCCTTTTTATATACAGCTCCTGTCTCCTTCCCATTTGATGCGGGAGAAGGCAAATATGTCTTGGACTTTTTATGCCACTGGGCATTATGAATGCTTTGACGGATCTAATTGTAATAGCTTTCTATAACCAGGTGGCATGACTGGCTGCACAATCAGGCTCAGTATTACTTGATTGGAAATCCCAAGGGAGATAAGTTTATAAATATCACCCTAGTGATAGCGATTGGCCAACTGAAGATGAAATGGTTCTTGAAGAAAAAGAAGAGATGGAACACCCTCCTCTTCTTGCTGTCCTGTGTATTCCACTGATGAAGAAAGGACAGGAAACAGGATGTCTGGAAAATTATTTTCTCTTTCTAGTGGCCCAATTCACGAGAGTTGATTCTGTGTTTTGATAAAAGTAGTAAAAAATTAGTTGTGATCACAAGTAGTGAGTCTACTTGCCATGGTTTTTTTCTGTTATCTTCCATTAGATTCAATATCTGGGATAAATGCAGATGGTCTCCAGAATTGAAATTTCCAGTCTCATAACTGGTCAAACTACAAGTGATATAGCCTGAATTTGCTCTCTAATGTCAGTCTTCATAATAAGAAGGCAAAAATAGATTTACATCCTGATATAGATGTAACTTAATTCATACATATTTGCTGATTTAATATAAAGTATGCTAAACAGATATATTTTAAATGTTGCATATAATAGGTATTAAGATTCAAAAATTTGGGTTCAACTTGCCATTGCATAAAATAAAGGTTATGATATATCTGTATACTAGCTGAATACTTGTGCTCCGCTACGAAACTATGTGATCAGCTTGATAAATCAATACTTAACAGCTTAAAAATTAATGAGTAGTTACCATTGACCTCTCCTATCCCTTCTCTCCCTGAGGCTTGCTCCACAAAATCCTCCCCTATCCTAGCCACTTCTCTTCCTCAGGCTTGCCCCACAGAAATGTCCCCTATCCTATTCCTTTCTCTCCCTCAGGCTTGCCCCACAGAATCCTCCCCTATCCTTTCGCCTTTTCTCCCTCAGGCTTGCCCTACAAAATCCTCCCCTATCCTATTCCCTTCTCTCCCTGAAGCTGTTCCCACAGAAGCTGCATCTATCCTATCCCCCCTCTCTCTCAGGCTTGCCCCACAGAAGCTCCACATATCATATCACCTTCTCTCCCTCAAGCTGGTCCCACAGAATCCACACCTATCCTATTCCCCTCTCTCCCTCAGGTTTTCCCATAGAAGTCCCACCTATATTATCACTTTTTCTCCCTCAAGCTTGCCCCACAGAATCCTCCCTAACCTATCCCCTTCTCTCTCTCAGGCTTGCCCCACAGAAGCCCCACCTATCCTATCCCCCACTCTCCCTCAGGTTTGCCCCACACAAGCCCTACCTATCTTATCACCTTCTCTCCCTCAGGTTTGCCTCAAAGAAGCCCCTCCTATCTTATCACCTTCTCTCCCTCAGGCTCTTTTCCAAGCTCCCAGCCAGCAGGCTGAATGAGTCACACACTGGCCACACCCATGTTCAAGTTTTCAGGTTGGGAGGGAGGTAGAATGTCTAACTCCTTAGCATCAGAGCATGTTAATAATAATATACCAAATACTAATGCTTTGATGGTCATTCTGAAAAATCCTTTGTTACCGAGCACCTAGAAGCCAAAAGGAACAAATGTACCAAATTCCAAGTTTGTAGGCTTTACGGTTCTGGAGATTTCGTGATTCCTGCATGAGTGTTTTTGTGTTTATACATATAAATTGTGTTAGGCAGAATAGATGGAATTGAAAACTATAGAAATCATTATAATTTATGCTTAAATTAATTATCAAAACTAAAATACTTGATATTCTTAAAAAATCATGTTTCTGATATAGAAAGCATTACAGATATCTGTGGTTAATAACCATTGGTTCAGCTAATAATAGTGCTGCAAAAATGGTAATTATAACTGCTCCTTGAAATTATGGCTGTTGCAGTGCCCCCACAATCACATCATCAAATTTTGGGCACTTAGTAGTCTGCCCACATTTACGACCATAGTGTGTGCTTCAGCTTTCCCTTCATACCTACTACCTCAAAATTCGGCCTGTTTGGTCACCCTGTACTCTGCTGCCTATCCTTGCCCTTCCCCCCCTTTCACTGCTGATAAAACATACCAGGCTGAAACAACTGCTAAGCTCTTTATGAGGCCCTCACACAACCTTCCCATAGTATCTTGCTATAGTAAAAGCTTAACAGCTTATGCCTTTGAAGCATTAAATTTCATATAAACTTTATTAATACTAAGTTAACTTTCTATCAAATTTATTTAACTATATTATTTCAGACCCTTTTTATGATTCTATTATAACATTCATTCATATTATATCTGTATCCGATGATGCTAACTTGGGGCTAAGCTCAATAAATATATTTGGTTCCACCACAAATCCGCGAAGCCCTTATCCGCAGAGACATAAGCGCGAAGACTAATTCGCGCCATTCTAAG